TGCACTCATTTCCGATATTCTAGAAAGAAGCACTTATGCTAGATATGGTAGAAAGAGTTCTTGGAGAATTTAACAATCACGGGAAATGCTGATGGCGATAGAGTTTGAGAAGCCTATTCAACAAGCTTGTGTAAGACTGAAGTGGGTTATAAAGTAGACACTCATATCTTAGGGCTACAAACGATAACAAATTTGGGAGAGCCATGATAGCCCACGTCTTGAAGGAGCATTATACATAAAAAGCTTCTGATATTCGTTACATTAAATTCTTTGGATTTTTTATTATTCGAATTGATTTGATTTTTAACTCAATTCTTGTTTCATAAATGTTGCTTAATGTTAACATCTTCATTTTATCCTTTATGACAAAATCCTGTTGTTCCTGATGTGGTCTTCTGCGTTGTCATTTGAAACGTCCATCGATAAACATAACCCAACCTAATTGCTATTGTTTAAGACAATGATCTGGTTATCTTTCGCTTGAAAACATTTTATATGCCTGTATTAATAAAATAAATTTATTCAGTCTGGCGCAAAACTGCAGATCTTTAAGAATTGAACTCATTATTAATGACAGTTCGTTAATTGTTACGAAATTAATAACAGTAAAGACAGATACTCATGCTTCCCCCCAAAAAATAACATCGTCAATTCTAGCTCAAACGATCTCAAATTTTAAGAAAATGTGTAAAGACTAAATTGACTGTGTGGACTTATCTCAATAAGAATCTACCAGGAAGATAAATCGGCCATGTCAGGGATAATAACAATTTGCTGTTGAAATGACTTCATGTGTGTCGTGTCAAAGGTGGTACGCATATTCAAGATTTGTGAAGCTTTGTGAAATCGATTATAAAATCTACATCCCTTTCAATATCTTGTTCGAATTTTTAAAAGTAAATATTTTATTGTTCAACATGAGGCCTATTCAATTTCGTTTTCCTGGGACATGAAGCTATTCAGATCTTCACATTTTAAATTATGTCATTTTTTTGTGGGGAACAACCTGTATATCTATAATGATCTTGCGTATTTAGAATTTATAATATAATCTATCTATCTATCTGTCTATCTATCTATCTCTCTCTCTATATATATATTTATTTTATATATATATATATATATATATATATATATATATATATACATATTCTACTCACACACGCACATATATATAAATATATATATATATTCTTACATAGATGTACACGCACATACATCCACCCATATCTATCAATATATATATTCGACTCTACCCCCCATCATCGTATTCGATGTATAAGGGTCAACCGACAGCCAGACATGATTTGATTAGAGTGGTGAAGGTTTTGTGCAAGGTTTTGTTGAAGAGCCGAATACAGAGACCTGGTGCACTACGTGCCACAACGTCCCCAAACGACTCTCCACAGGTTTTGAATTCAGAGTTTTCCCTCTCCTAGACCAGTTGCCATCCAAGGCTATAGAACCCGTTCTGTCCTGCTAATTACACATAGCTGGAGGGAGAAGATGAGAATTCATACCTTTCCCAAGGGTATTACCACGTAAGTGAATGTAATGGGTTCGAACTCGGCTCTCTGATTCCACAATCCAAGCTGCTATCCATTACTCCACCGTGTCTATATTTAAGAGTGAACACTGTTGTCAACACCAAGCAGCAACAGTCTACTTCATTCTTCGACATAATCTTCAGGCCAATGATGTCAGTGTTCAATTTTATATTTTCATACACTGAAGACGATGTGACAAAATGGACAAATTTTAATCAAAGACGCGTTTCGCCGGAGAAAAGGTTAACTTACGTTTTCTTTGGCTTCACCAGTTCAGATAAAAGAAAAAAAACAAAACTATGTATTGGAAGGGTGTTTTGGGGATTTCCGAGGATAGATTGGGTGCCATAAATCCCATTGTTCTGGCTTCTCATGGGTGCTAGCTTGACATTTGAGGTAGGTCCCTATGTCTCTGTGCTTGTTTGTTTTATTTATATGTTTGTATACATATAAATACCCACATACACATACAATCTATACATGCATATACACATGTACATATATACATATATGTAAACAGTACACACACACACACACACACACATATATATATATATATATATATATATATATATATATATATATATATATATATATACATGAAATGGACAAAGGCCAACAATTATTTTAAGACATTTTTTATGTTTATACATTCTTTTTATAGATACAAATATTTAAGTAAATGCCCTGTTTATAATAAACAGTATTAACAACATTTACCGGCCTGAATGTCATAGAAAATATTCGTCCTCCGACGGGAATAGAACCTGTATCCTATACGGAACCGTCATATAGCCTGACGTGCCTTAACCGATTGGGCCACAGAGGATCGTTCGGTTAGCAAGGTCGATTTTACTTCTTTTAAACTACAATCTTCCATGAATCTCTCACGTACATTCATATCTGCTCAATGTGTATCCAAATGTAAATAAATGACGTCCGACAGTTATTTTAACACATTTTTATGTTTATACATTCTTTTTATAGATACAAATATTTAAGTAACTGCTCTGTTTATAATTGTAAGAGTTTTGTGTATATAAAAACTGCCGTAACATTTGTTTTTTGACGACTTTATAAAGCGTTATCTATTTTTGTAGGGTATTCAAATTATTTATTAGGGCTATGGATTATAAAAATTATATTATTGTATGCTTGTTTTTAAGCTAATTATTCAATGCGAAAATTTGATGATGTCGGCAAAAAACCGTTAACTCATGTCTATTGTTTAATAGATTTTTATTATTTAGAAACTTAATAATGTGCAGTTTCTCATGGAGGTATAAAGGGCAAGGGTCATCCCAAAGGAGAGGATAAACCAATAGAGTTTGGTACCAGCGCGGCTGCAGAAGTTGCCAGAAGGTAGTACAAAGTGCCGTCCATCCGCCTTAGAGGCTCCCCTCCAGGTTTGAATTCAGATTTGTCCTTCTCCTAGACCAGTTGCCATCCAAGGCTATAGAACATCAGTCTGTATATATTCAGTTGGATTGATGTGAGTTTGTGACCCTAGGTTTCACGCCCTTTGCGATCATCGTCAGATATATATATATATATATATATATATATATATATATATATATATATAGAGAGAGAGAGAGAGAGAGAGAGAGCGATGTTTTATGCTTAAACGCAATCGTCAGACCTGACGATTGCGTTTAAGCATAAAACATACTGTCACCTCTCGGTGTTGACTTCAATGTCCACTTTTATATTTACATACGCTCTATCCCTGGTATTGAGCACTTGAACCCATAAATATAGCATACCGTAAGACGATATTTTTTCATATTGTGGAGTAATTGACCATGGTTAAGTGTAATTGTCAAATTGCTGAAGAGACGGAATTAACAAAGTTCTCAATAAAAAATATGAAAGGAAAGAAAAAGAAAAGCGTTTAATATTACTAAGCATAGAACATATGTACAAGACATAACGAAGCAAAGCAAAAGTAATGAGGCAAAAAAGGTTCACAAAGTAATAATTGGGCGATAGATGGAAAAAGGATTTGGAGAGAAGAAAAAAAATTGGGCAAACAGGAAGAAAAATTATTTGTTATGACAAAATCTGAGGTGAAAAGGGAAAAATGTATAAAGAGGAAGAAAAATGTTTAATGTGAGAAGGAAAAAAGATGTGTGGAGAGATGGAAAAGATGTGTGGAGAGATGGGAAAAGATGTGTGGAGAGATGGAAAAGATGTGTGGAGAGATGGGAAAAGATGTGTGGAGAGATGGGAAAAGATGTGTGGAGAGATGGAAAAGATGTGTGGAGAGATGGGAAAAGATGTGTGGAGAGATGGGAAAAGATGTAGTCAGAGAAAGAAAACATATTTGATCAGAGATGAAAAAAGATGTGAAAAGAGAGAAAAATATGTGAACAGAGTAGAATAAAGATGTGCTTATATAAAGAAAAAAGATGTGATGAGAGAAAGAAAAATATTTGGCCAGAAAAGGAAAAAAACTGTTGCTAGAAAATGAAGAAATTTGTTCAAAGAAATAAAAGGTGTCGTCAGAGAAAAAAAATATCTGGTCGAAGAAAGAGAAAAGATGTTGTGAGAGAAGGAAAAAAAGATGGATTTAAAGAAAAAACACAAGGTCAGAGAAAGAAAGATGTTGAGAGTGAAAGAAAGAAAATGTGATAAGAGAAGAAAAAGATGTGTTGAGAGAACGAAGGTAATATTGTCAGCGAAGGAAAAATTATATATTCAGAGAAAGAAAAAGTTGTAGTCAAAAAAGGAAAAAAAAAGATGTGGTGAGGGAAAGAAAAAGATGTGTTGAGAAATGGCAACAAAAATGTGGGAAGAGAAAGAAAAAATGCTTGTTTGTAATGAAATTACATAAGTTTTTATTTTATTTCTATTTTTTTCGTATGAACGGAGATACGCCCAAATCATAACCACTTAAAATGATTTTAATTGATTCAGAGTATTAAAATCATTCCATTGATGGAAACCTTTTTCGTTTCTTCTTTCTTTCTTTCTTTCTTTCTTTCTTTCTTTCTTTCTTTCTTTCTTTCTTCCATCCATTCCCAGCTTCCTTTCTTCCCTCATTCCATTTTTTTTATTAATTTTACTCGTTTTTCTGGTTTGTTTTCAGTGTTTTCTTTTTCGTCGCACCCGAAACTATTGAGAGGAATGCGCCTGGCCTATAGTAGCCATTAAAGAACACATTGGGCGGCAAGGATGTCATAGTAAAACAAGAGATTAAAGAGTTTGTCCGAACGCCACTAATAACCTACCACAGATAAATATTGAAAGTCGCCAATATATCATTATTTTATGCGTGTTTTATTTTCAATTACTTTTAATATATAAATATATATGTGTGTGTGTGTGTGTGTGTGTGTGTGTGTGTGTGTGTGTGTGTGTGTGTGTGTGTGTGTGTGTTAGAAATAGTGGAAAAACTAAAATAAGAAAGAAAGAAAGAAAGAAAGAAAGAAAGAAACATACATACATTTTTTAGCCAGGAGCTGACAGAGTCGAGAAAGAAAGAAAGAAAGAAAGAAAGAAAGAAAGAAAGAAAGAAAGAAAGAAAGAAAGAAAGAAAGAAAGAAAGAAAGAAAGAAAGAAAGAAATGATTAACCGTAGACAAAAATAAAATAGTAAATTTATGTGTAAAAAGCCAAGAAGTATATATACAACTTTGGAAGCCAAAGCAATAAGTAAATCAGAACTGAAGTATATATTAAATAATCTTTTAAAAATAAAAGGAAGAAAAAAAGCAATAAACCAAAAGAATAGGCGAAAGAAATTAGTTGTAAGAAATAAAAGTGTATAACATCCAAAGAGAAAGAAGGCGTAAAGAGAAAATGGCGAGAATAAACGAAACTTTTGGCCGAGAGACTAATAATTGCCGGAAAATTTGAGTGAATAGAAATATATAAGGCTCGACAAAAAACATAACAAAGAAGTGAAAGTGAAAACAAAAGTGAGAATGGAATTAAGAGAAGCGTAGCGGGAAAAATCCGCCATGATGCAATTCTCGTAGACCATTGCAACGATAGTGAAATCGATATAACTTGGGCACACAAAACAATATGCACGTCTAAGATAAGCTTAGTAAATATAAATTTGTTACTGCGATATAATGCTTAACGGGTTAGTGCATTACTGATGCAGTGGGTTTGGTTTGATCTGTTTTTATTGCCAAACAAAACAAAGCTTAACCATTTCATGACCACAGAAAAATCCATAATTTATTATAAATATTAAAATAAATATAGGCTAGTAATTATAGTTTTCTAAAAAAAAATCATCTATTAATTATAGCTTAAAAAACTGTATTAATTATAGGTTTCTAAAAACATTCTTTATTAGAGGTTTGAAAAATATTCTCTGTTAATTACAGTTTTCTATAAAATCTATTAATTATAGGTTTCAATAAAAAAAAATATTAATTATAGCTTTCAATAAAACAAATATTAATTATAGGATTCTGGAAAAAATCCCTATTAATTATCATTCAGTCAGTTGTGTGCCATGGGTGATACACACGTAGGCGATCATGTATCTTTCGATATATAACTGACAAGGCAGATTTTTTTCCCGCAGTAGGTTGCCATTTCTTTCTGCACGAGGCCAGTTGCCATCTAAGGCTATAGAATCCGGTCTGTCCTGCTATTTACCCATAGCTGGGAGGAGACGAAGAGGATTCATACCTTTTCCAAGGGTATTAGCACATAAGTGAATGTAATGGATTCGACTGGAATTCGAAATATTAATTATAGGTTTCTATAAGATCTTCTATAAATTATAGGGTTCTAAAAAACCTACATTAATTATATTTTTCTATAAAAACCTCTATTAATTATAGTTTTCTATTAAAAAAAATCTATTAATTATTTGTTTCCAAAAAAAGCACTTATAGGTTTCTATAAAATCATCTATTAATTATTGGGTTTTAAAAAATACAGAGAAGTGTTTCGCGAGAAAAAGCTGTTTGAGTGGAACTTAATTCTTGACAATGGAATACAGAAGGAATTTGGCTGATTTGCTACTATGTAAGTGGCATGGTAGGTCTTAGCGATGAAGGCCAGTCTTGGGGGAACCAGGAGATGCAGTTCATCCAAGCACTTTCCATGGTAGTAGCAATAGAGGCTCACCACATCCTGCCTGTGAAACAGTGGTTAAAGGGTGGAAAATAATTCTTCTCCCACAAAGAGTCAGAGATGATTTTGAACTCTATCAACAGTACTTCATTTTTGGACTAATTTGGCTCTTATAAAGATAGAGGAGAGCATGAGCAATCAGGTACTGACTGGAGCGGTACAGAGAGCCAATCATCTTATCTGCATCCTTAGAGATGGATCGTAAATAGGAATTCCATTTGAGGTTAGGTCTGAGTTTAAGAACCAAATATTCCCACGAGGCACAGGGCCTCCCCAAGGGGTCATCTGTTCATCTTAATTTGGCTCTTATAAAGATAGAGGATAGCATGAGCAATCAGGTACATACTCGAACGGTACAGAGATTTTACCTGTATCCTTAGCGATGGATCGTATATAGGAATTCCACTTGAGGTTAGGTCTGAGTTTAAGAACCAAATATTTCCACGAGGCACAGGGTCTCCTCAAAGAGACATCTGTTCACCCTAATTTGGCTCTTATAAAAGAAGAAGATCGCATGAGCAATCAGGTCCTTACTGGAGCCCTACAGTGATTTTACCTGTATCCTTAGCCATGGAACATACATAGGAATTCGACTTGGGATCAGGTCTGAGTTTAAGGACCAATATTCCCACGAAACACAGGGTCTCCCCAAGGGGACATCTGTTCATCCTAATTTGGCTCTTATAAAGATAGAGGATTGCGTGAGCAATCAGGTACTTACCGGACCGCTACAGAGAGCCGATTATTTTACCTGCAGCATTAGCGATGGATCGTATATAGGAATTCCACTTGTGGTTAGGTCTGAGTTTAAGAACCAAATATTCCCACGAGGCACAGGGTCTCCTCAAGGGGACATCTGTTCATCCTAATTTGGCTTATATAAAAGAAGAGGATAGCATGAGCAATCAGGTACTTACTGGAGCGGTACAGAGAGACGATCATTTTACCTGCAGCTTTAGTGATGAATCGTTTATAAGTATTCCACTTGAGGTCAGGTATGAGTTTGTGGCCCAATATCCTCACGTGACTGGCGGTAGTTCGGGGTCTGATCGGCGCTGATAGAATGTAACTAGTTTGAATAAATATAACCAGCCTATCTAATACTATTGTCCTTGCGTTGTGTGCGTCGTCAAAGACCTCACTAAATCTGTATGTAATGGTAGTTAGGCCGTCACCAGTGGATCGGGCTCATCGAAACACATACCTCTTGTTGCACATACCAATAGGTTGTTCCTATCCCGGCACTCGACAACATTAATTAAGGTCTCAAAAAGATTACTGATGATACGGGGGAGATAAATGTTTCTGTACTGGAAGGAGGGATCGGTCGCCCGCATTCTTGAAGATCGGACATATGCTTGCCACCTTCCTCTTGCTTGGTTTACATAAAATCATCTATTCATTATAGATTTCTAAAAAAAGACTCTATTAATTATAGGTTTCCATAAAATCCACTATTAATTGTAACTTTCTATAAAAATCCTCTATTAATTATAGGTTTCTAAAAATTCTCTATTATATATTAGTTTCTCAATATCCTACGTTAATTATCGATTTCTATAAAATACTCTATTATTCATAGGTTTCTAAAAACCTCTATTAATTGTAGGTTTCTATAAAACCCTCTATTAATTATAGATTTCTAAAAATCTTGTATGATAGCTTTCTGTCAAGTTCCCTATTTATTACAGGTTTCAAAAAACCCTCCCTTATTAATAGGTTTGTAAAAACTCTATTAATTATAGGTTTCTATTAAATTCTGTATTTATAAACAAACCTATATTAATTTTACGTTTCTATAAAATTCTGTAGTTTTCTACAAATGTCTCTGTTAATTATATGTTTCTAAAATAACATATATTACTTTTAAATATCTATAAAATTCTCTATTAATTATAGTTTTCTATAAAATCATTTATTACTGATAATTTTCTAAGAAGATGTCTCATTATAAGTTTTTTTATAAAATCCTCTTATAATTATAGGTTTCTAAAAAATTCGCTATTAACTTATAGGTTCTTACAAAATCATCTTTTAATGTTTCTAAAAAATCTTAATATTAATTATACGTTTCCCCCTATAACTCATTTTTGCTTGCCGTCCCCCACCCCCAATTGGATAATAAATATAGATGCGTCGTTGTGGAGTAATAGTTAAAGAGTTCGTCTAACAAACCATTACTACATTCAGGTGAGTTCGATCCTCACCGGGTGTCTTATACTGGTGGTTTTATAGCAGACTAAGTTCGCTTACAACTGTATCTCGTTGAAACATTGGTTCTTGTCCAATTACGAAAATTAAAAAACGTTAAGCCTGGTCCTAGATGGGTGATCGATTGGATTTGTGCTGGTGAGACGGAAAAGTACGAGGAAAAGGAAAAAGTCAAATAATTATGTTCTGACCCCAAAAAGGAGAGGTATTGAGCAAAATTTCATAGGAAAATTAGTTCGGGAGGTTGTAATGGAATGTCCCACACTCCCTATAGCCTATGTGAACTGAGTATATTAGTAGCTATATACCTGGGGGGCTTGCTTCGGGAATTACCAGCCTGCCACCCGATTCCCTGTCTTTCAGTAGTATATTCTCTTGTACAATAAACCTGTCTTCTTTCATCTACGCGCGTGTTGTATCACTTTTGTCTGTAACCTCTTTAAGGATACAACAATTGGAATACCGAGTGCTTTAAGATTGTTTGTGAGCGTGTGTAATGGATAAGAGCTTGGGATGAGAAATTAGAGCGCTGAGTTCGAATTCCAGTCGGGTTCGTTGCGTTCACTTAGCAAATACTGTTGTGCCATCATGAATCGAAAAAAAAGATATGATTGTCCCAGCCCCTACCAACACACATTGGCCTATTTGTACCCATGAATCTGAGAAATGCCTACGTACAACAGAAGAAGCAACAGTAAATACGTGGGAGTACTTTTGAGAGGAAGACAAAAGATGTTTAAGAAAAACGAAATATGAAGAAAGTTGTAGCAAGAAGGAATGAATAGAAGGTAAGAAAAGAAACAGGGTAAATAAACCGACAGAGAAAAATGTGAACGAAAAAAAGAATGGTGAAAAAAAAAACGATAGAAAAACAAAGGGAATGAGAGAGGGTGTAATTTTGAATAAAAGAAAGAAAGAAAGAATTTAAGTAATGTGAAAGCAAAGAAAGGTATGCCAAGAATCAAACTGCAATAGGTAAATGCTATAAAACAAGAAGAGAGATTGAGCAAGAAAAAAGGAAGAGAATGAGAAGAGAAAGAGAAAAAGAAAGAATAGACAAACAATAAAAGAGATGGGATAGTGAAAGAAGGAACAAAACGAGAAAGAAGAGCTTAGGAGAAAAAGAGGAAAAAGTAATGTGCAAGAAAATAGAAAATAGAGAGAAAAGAAAAGGATATATGGAGAAAGAGACGAGAATAAGAAGGTAAGAGAGAGAATAAAGAGAGAAGACAAAAAGAGAGAGTAAAACGAAAGGAAAGAGCTTAGGAGAAAGACATAAAGAGAATATAGATAGAAAAAGAGACCAACCAGAGACAAAAGGAGAGAAAGAAGCTTAAAAGGAAAGAAAAGGGCTTAGGAAAAAATGGAAAGAGAAAATAAATAGAAAATAGAGAGAAACGAAAGAGAGAATCGTTAAGGTAAAACAGGTGAGTGAGTACAAAGAGAGAATATAAAAATAAAAGAGGGTTTGAAAAAAATGAGACAGAGAGTATGGAGAGCTAGAGATTAGCTGATCACCGTATGTTGCCATCTTTGTTAATGAAAGTAAACCCGCGTTGATCATCCAATCTGAGGTGACGGTAAAAGTGTTTCTATTTTTAAACTGCTGGATCTATTGTTTGTGCATGCTCTGTTGATTCAAACAATGCGACCACATCATTAATTACGGTATTATGACACTGAGAAACACAATGATATTAATGTTATTGGTCATTGCTATGGTCATAAAGAACGGAAATTATGATAATGACATGTTAATCATGCTTAAGTCGATGTCTTTGGTCTTAGCAAATTCGTTGATAATGATGATACTGTCTATATTTCTGAGATGAGGTATTATGTACATTATTTACATAATTCGGACTAGTGTCCTTATCTTTGTCACCATATTTATTACAACGTTTCGGCCCTTCACTATCTGTCTATATTTCTGAGATGAGGTATTATGTACATTATTTACATTATTCGGACTATTGTCCTCATTTCTGTCGCCATATTTATTACAACGTTTCGGCCCTTCAGTATCTGTCTATATTTCTGAGATGAGGTATTATGTACATTATTTACATTATTCGGACTAGTGTCCTCATCTTTGTCACCATATTTATTACAACGTTTCGGCCGTTGTACGCTCCGGCCTTATTCAGGTGGTTGGAATGTCGAATTGAACCCTTTATTTTGCTCACTGGGGTAGACTGTTCTAGTCCCACGTGCCATGTCTAATGGATGTCAGTTGTCAGTTATCTCCTGTAAATTTCCTCTCTGAAAGTTCTCCACTCTCTTAACCAGGTATTGAACTCACACTCTTTGGATCCTGTCACTGGATCTAACTAACGCCTTTATTTACTGTGCCATGTGTCCTTGTGTTCGACATTCCAATCACCTGAAGAAGGCCGGAGCGTACAACGGCCGAAAAGTTGTAATAAATATGGCGACAAAGATGAGGACAATAGTCCGAATAATGTAAATAATGATGATACTGTTGTCAATGTTAATCATTACGATCTAATTGCGAAAGAAATTGATAATGATCTGCATATAATTTTGAATACTAAGGTTAATTCAATACAGCGCACGAGAGTCACTCAAGGTAGAGGATGACAGTTAAAATAAAAAAGTGTGATATGAGTTGTTGGACGTTAAGATTATGAGGATAAGGAGGATAGATAAAGATTATCCTTCATGTGAAGAGGTTGTAGTATTCGGGGAAGTATCCGCACGGGGGTCTATTCCACAAAATGGTAGTTCTTGAGAAAAAAACCTACCTGAGTGAAACTTTCTCTTAACATTTGGAATAAAAAGGAAATGAGGGTAGTTTGATTCCGTGGAATTTGCAGGGCGTGTTTTAGGTGTCAACTGTTGAAACTAAAGACTGGAATTCGTCTGAACATTTGCCATGGAAATAGCAACAGAGAACCGAAAGTTTTGCAATGTTGCATCTATGGGAAAGAGGCTGCAGATTGGAGAATATGGCTTCCCTAAAAAGACTGTGTAAATGTCCTTGCTGTAAATGTCTGAACAGGTGAAACTAAAAATGGACCTCATCTGAACATTCGCCATGGAAAAATAGCGAAATGTGATGAAAAGGCAACAGAGTAAAGAGTAGGTCTTCTCTCCCAAAAACCTTATAAACGATTTTGAATTTTATCAAGGCAGAAAAATGAAGATTGCGGAGCTCCAGCTCAGATATGGTGGCAACAAATCATTTTTTCTCTAATTTGATTCTTTTACGAAGGATAAAAACATATATATCATTTTTGATGACGAATTAAACAAATGGTGGTGATGCCTTTCAAAAGAACCTCGCTGTCATGCAATCGTTACGTAAATACATAACGTTTTAAGCTTGTTGAAAAAGTACATAAAAACTGATTTTCAACAGTAATATTTTGTTATGAATACAAAGTTATATTGGATAGACATGATTACTAGACAAGACCCTTGGTTTGTCCTATCACAAGTTGTGGGGACACCACATGTACTCCAGCCTTATCAACACTGATGTTCTTAGGCAAGATAACCCGACAGAACCTAAACACCACCAGGCTGGTTTTGAATTCAGAGTTTTCCTCCTTGTAGAATGGTTGCTAACCAGTCTTTTGTGCTATTTTAGGATCGTATGTGCACCACAGGTATTGCAACCTTAGCAGAAGTTGTATGTCTTGGGCAAGATAGCCCATAAGGAAAACAAACCTTCACCAGAGTTTTCCTTCTTCTAGATTCGTTGCCATGAGAGAAACCAATCTGTTCTGCTATTTACTTATAGCATATCTGGTGGGGTGGAGGAGATGGGTATTTGCGCGTAAATGAATGCAACGAATTCGACTGGAATTCGAACTCGGCTCTCCGATCTCCCATCCCATCCATTACACCACATCCAATCAAATAACACATATTACAAAGGATAGGTAGAGTAATTTTTCGTAAGCAGTAAAATTAGAAGTCCCTACTTAGTTGGTAATGGTATCAAGATAAATAGAAAGAAAATAGTTGAAGAGGTTTCTTGAGAGTTGCAGCCAAGAAGATTTAAGCTAAATGTCATGTAAAAAGTTTTCGTTTACATCGTGCAAAGCTGAATATTGTTCATCCTACCAAAAAATATTTGAAAGAAACGAAGTTAAAGAAATGGCTTCCAGATTTTCAAATCTTTATACAATAGCACAATCATTCTTCTAATGTCTGTTCTTGAAATCAACCAATTTCTTGTCTATTCTTATTCTAAGTAACTCTTGACACTTTATCACCTGGCTTTTTATTTTTGGTCGATATTCCTTCATGAATTCACTGAAAATCCTTAATGAAGCTATTCATTATTTCTCCTTGTCACAGATTCGTTTTTCTTTATTATTGTATTGAAGGACTCCTGCTCTTCAGTACGACAATGGACTACTTACAATTATGGCAAGTAATCACATTAAAGTAGGTTTTGAGTATCTTTCCGTTCTATGGCGATTTTCTGAGCGTGGCACAAGGCCGAAAGTATGGGGCACCCCGTGAGGATCGAACTCACAATTCAGTCGTAATTAATCTAGTGAGAGAATCTTGCCAAACATTACACCACATCGAAGTGACCTAAATGATTTTCTAAGCGAAACTTAGATGTAACACAAGACCAAAAATTTGAAGAACTCACCACTCAGTCAAAAATGATCTATTATACCACGTCGATGTGCCCAAAACATTTTCTAAGCGTAGGTTAGATGTGGCACAAGGCCGAAAGTGTGGTGCACCCAGTGAGAATCAAACTCACTACTCAGTCATAATTGATCTAGCTAGACAAGCTTGCTAACCATTACACTACGTCGAAGTGGCCCTCTTCCCGTTCTACATATGTATATTTAATAAAACCTCTTCTTATTTGTTTTCCTTACTTAGACTTCTGTTCCTTCGATAATATCTCTAACTACGGCCTTCCTAATCCTCGGCTATTTTGAACAACATTATAACATTTTTTATCTGAACGAACATAACTTCTTGGGAAACATAATGGAAGGGTTTCCTGATGCCTTCTCCAAAGCTTGGAATTCAGAATTCAGAGTTGCCCTTCTCTTAAAATAGTTACCATACATGACCTTGTTATTTAATCTATATGTGGGGAGGCGTGGAGAAGAGATTGCTTTACGCCTTTTGCAAAGGCATTAGTGCAAAAAGGAAGGCATCAGTCAACCCCGCAGTTTGAACTCGTCTCGACGATTCCAATTTCCACTCCTATATTCGTTAAAACTAACCGCACCCGATGATGATCTTAGATATTAACAATTCAGATGTTAATTCTTTCAGTAAGGAACGAAAATGTGACACCGAAACGCAAGGACGCATTGTAATAGCGAAATATGCTTTCCAAAAGCTAAACAAAGTATTAAGAAATAAGAAAATGTTGTCAGAAACAAATAAAACATTGATGAACGGCTATGTAATATCACTCCTGCCCTATACAGTGAATGCTTGACAATCTCCTCACAGATGAAGAGGAATCTTGAAGCAACAGAAATGTGATTCTACAGAAGGATGCTGAGAATACCTTAGACGGAACATGTGTGCAACGAGGAAGTTTTAACACAAACACAAAAATTAAACTTATATTTAGAATCAGAAAGAGACGGATGAAAATTTTGGAGCGAAAGAGGGCTTGGAGAATTTAAAACACATAGAACATATAGAGCGAATAACTTACCTAATGAGTTTGTGCAAATGGATGACATGACACAACAGAGAGTGAGAAGGATAGTGAAAAAAAATTATAAGAGCTCAAAAGGAAAGGATAGAGAGTTGTGGAGAGCCATGATCGCTCACGTTCTGAAGGAACACGGTACGTAACAGAAAAAAGATGATAATCGTTTTAAATATTTCGACCATTGATAGTGATGATGATGATGATACCGCATCTGTTGAAATAGCAAACTTTGCTAATGAAGATAGTGATGATGATGATGATGATGATACCGCATCTGTTGAAATAGCAAACTTTGCTAATGAAGATAGTGATGATGATGATGATGATACCGCATCTGTTGAAATAGCAAACTTTGCTAATGAAGATAGTGATGATGATGATGATGATGATACCGCATCTGTTGAAATAGCAAACTTTGCTAATGAAGATAGTGATGATGATGATGATACCGCATCTGTTGAAATAGCAAACTTTGCTAATGAAGATAGTGATGATGATGATGATGATGATGATGATGATGATGATGATACCACATCTGTTGAAATAGCAAACTTTGCTAATGAAGATATTGATGATGATGATGATGATGACGATGATGATACCACATCTGTTGAAATAGCAAACTTTGCTGATGAAGATAGTGATGATGATGATTATTTTTCATGTCGGCTATGAAGC